AAACTGAAAACAATGGAACTATATGAAATACAAAATAAGGAAAAATATAAACAATATCTACATTTCCTTCCAGGTTCCAACTGTTGCACTTCCTAAAACACTGTCTAATTTTTTGTCTAAACAAATATAAGCTGTCTAAATTCATATAAATTGTTTCCATGCATTGTGTGATGACTACAAGATTTTCAGCAGCTCTAGTTATAATAGAAAAGATGCCACAGCTATTTACTGAAATTATTTCTTAAGAAAATGTGTCAGTGATGTTAAAACATTAGCCGAGTCATAAGTTTGACGTTCTGTGTATTAAAACAAACAGTTGATTCCCTATTAGTTAAGAACACAAACCCTGGAGCCAGATTTCTGGGATCAAATCCTGGCTTCATCATTTCTTTATGTGGCATTCTGTTTCTTCATCTGTAAAGGAGAAATAATAATGGTATCTTTCTCATATGAACACTGTGAAGATTAAATAGATTAATACATGCAAAGTGCTTAGAATAGTTTTGGGCACACAGTACGCATTGCACATGCTGGTTATTATTACTATTTTCACTAAATAGTTTTTAACTGCACAGAGACCCATTGTAAATTATTTTCCATTGAGTGTTTAACTTGCATGCATTATGGGAGAAAAAAGATAAATAAACAACAGTCATCAGATGGTGATACAGTAATACTCCCTTATAACAGATTTTAGATGAAAAGAATGCTTATTCTTTGCCAACATTTCATCAGCATCAGAATACCCACATAATCAGGTTTAACCAGACAAAATAAATGCATTTAACCTTGACTCCCCTCTAGGATTTAAAAAAGAAAAAACCTGGATGATTTCAGATTTAATAAATGAGGACTTTTCAGTTTTTGTGACTTTTGATAAGAAGCTCAGAGTACTTTACAAATATTTTAATTAAGGTTTGACATACTCAGTGAAATAAGTTGCAATCACTGTTTCTTCTTTTTAAATATATATCATTTAGAGCAATTTAGCAGGCTGAGACTACAGAAGATTTACAAGTGCAGAAACATCCAGACTGTCATTCAAATGGTTTGCTAAGTCTTTTAATATTTATGATAATGTCCCATGAAGTATGCTTCTATTTTTAAGAATTATTAAAATCTGTCTTAAAAATAGTCTATTAAAAAGAAATAAATCATTTAACTACTCTTAGAGTAGTACTTTTTGACCAAACAAAAAATAAACATTACAGAACATGATTTGACAGTGGATGGAGCTCAAGAATAAGGAGGAAAGAGGCCATGACTCTGTATTGGTTCTTTCACTAACCAATATGACCCCTGGGTGGCACTTAACTGTCCTTGAAGTCAGGACCTGCATAAGTAATATGAAAATGTTGGTCTAGAGATTAGAACCTGTGGGTTGAAGGATCCTTAAGTGAAACTCATCCATCCATGAAATTCTTCTTGTAGGTTTCCAGTAGTAGAAAACTCACTATATCCTAAGGTGCTTGAGCCATCTACAGATATTTTTAACTGTTAAAAAGGCTATTCCTTAGCCACATTCTGGGTCTTCCTATTTATCTAAGCTCCCCAGCTTGTCAAACAGTCTATAATTTCAAATGTAGAATACAACAGATCCCCACAACAGCAAACTTTCTAAATGATGAAAGAGAACTTTAAAGCAGAAGGGTGCTATTTATTCTCTGTCCCATTATGTTTACCATTATTAGGCTGGAGCAAAAATAGTAGGAGGGGGTCAAAGAAATTTAGAATGTTCCCTATGCCTTCAACTTGAGCAAGTCCCCCAAGTGATCATTTTCTTAGAAAAAGTTCTGCTGTTCAATGGTTCAAATTCCATGCCTGCTAGATTTCTCTTCCAGCACCTCAGGCAGTTCAAGCCAAGAACAACCTTCTACTCCAAAAAGGAAGAAGTAAGTGTGGTTGAATTAAATCCATGACCTCAGCTCCACAGAGCAGTGCTAGTCAACATGTGGTGGTCAACACAAACATGTTGACTCAGGGGACATTGTGTTACTAAGCTGTGATGAGATAAAAGAAATTGAGAGTAAGACTTTAGAAGTTCTGTAGCTCTTGGATATTGTGGTGGCACCAAGAACATGATTAATGAGGGACTTTCCTGGTGGCACAATGGTTAAGAATCTGCCTGCCAATACAGGCAACATGGGTTTAATCCCTGGCCCTGGAAGACCCCACATGCTGCAGAGCCACTAAGCCCGTGTGCCACAACTACTGGGCCTGTGCTCTAGAGCCTGTGAGCAACAACTACTGAATCCCTCATGCTCCAGGGCCCACATGCCACAACTACAGAGCCCAAGTACTGCAACTACTGAAGCCCACGTGCCTAGAACCTGTGCTCCACAACAAGAGAAGCCACTGCAGTGAGAAGCCCGTGCACTACAATGAAGAGTAGCCCCCGCTCGCCACAACTAGAGAAAGCCCATGCACAGCAACAAAGGCCCAACACAGCCAAAAATAAAATAATAAATTTTTTTGTTTAAAAAGAACATGATTAATGGATACTGTTCCAAGAATGTAGACCACTTTGAGGGCTGTCAAGTGCCAACATGGTGAGCCACATCTGGTATGAGTGCATACTAATCCCACTTGGTAGGACCACAGATAGGTCTGCCATGCATGCAGATAGGTCGGCCATGGAATGAAAAATACACAGTCCTTCACTGCAGGTAACTTGAGAACCACACCTGATTAGGCTCAATAGCAGATGTGAAGGTTTTGAGTTGAATCTTATCATCCTTTTCCACATCTTTCATTTTCCTGGATTCCTAAAAGCACTCCTCCCACTTTGTTTCCCATAAATGAACTGATCATTTCCTTTGTTTTGTCCTCAACTCCCATAGGCCAAAAAATACAGTTTTCTAACTATTTACAAAATTCATTTTTAATAAAATTTAAATACAGTGGAAAAAATAGATGTTTTATGGATTTTTTATATGAAAGCTAACTCCTAGCTGGATTAACATGATACCAAATAGCAAACAACCTCAGGGCATGAGTTCATGAATATAAGCTATATTGTCACAGGTAGATCAAATAAGACTAAGATCATTCTCAGAAGAATTTTGGCAAGATTGACATTCACCTACCCAAAATCAGCATAGTACAGTGGAAAGAGCATTGAATTAGATGTCAGGGGTCCAGAGGTCCAGTACTAGCTCTGATACTAACCAGTTTTGTGATTTTCATGAACTCTCCAAATCTTCTGTACCAAAATTTCCCCCTCTGTGAAAACAGCATGAATGAGCCAATTTCTAAAGTTTCCGTCAGCCATAAAATTTCATAATTCTAAGAAAATTATTTTCCCTTAAGGTAGTTTCCTGGTAGAAGAATAATTTTCCCAGCAGTGCGTTTACTGCCAAAAGACAGACTGACCTCCGTGCACTTGTACAAGTAGCTCTTTATTATAAATTTAGCATTAACAGACTCTTCCAGGCTAAAATTACCCAACAAATGAGGCATTGAACCCTAACTAAAAAACATACCTTTTAATGGAGACATGAACCTCAACTTTCAGATATCTGTGGGGGTGAGGAGTAATTCACAGGGTCCTAATCATGACAAAATGGTTTCCATAAAATGCCAGTATCTATAAGGTACTGTATATTGAATTGCTATTTGTCTCACGAGACTTTTCTCAAGGGGTTCTTCAAATACCTTACAATCTAAAATAAAGCCATCTGTCCTCCCTTAATGCATAAAGCCTACAGCGTTAACCCAGGTCTTAAATAGCGTTTGGAACTGAGTGAGCCTTCAGGAACACTTGACCATGAATAACCACACTATAGTTTATTCCACAGGTATTCCATTTATTGCTGTGGCCCCAAATCATGTTTTAAACTTCCTAGAACTCCTGAGATGATAAGCTCTGTGCCTTCCAAGGAAGCTCGTGTGCGTGTGTGTGTGTGTGTGTGTGTGTGTGTGTACGTGTGTACCATATACAACGCAAGAGCTGAAGTAGCTTGGAATTATCAGTAATTCTCATAATGTCTTCCATCTTCCAAATAAATGAAGGGGAGTGTTGATGCAAATGAAGACAAATACAGAAAAAAATTGGAACAATATGGAAATTACAGAATAAAATGTAAACTATTTACAGATCACTATTCAAAAGAATAGAAAATTTATACCTAAGCAATATGAAAACTTAGGCAGTATATTTTAACAAAGAAAGTAAGATAATGAGATAGTGGAAGGTATAGATGCATATGTAATATATACCATATATGTGGCTTATTACTGAATCAAGAAGCTGAAGAATAAAGGAAAAGACAAAATCATGAACACTTTCAATTGAAAATTCAGTCCTCATTATCTAAAATATTGCAATTTAAAATTGAATGTATATATTAAAAGGCTTATAAAAATACAGTAGGAAGAGTTTTCTGATCTGAATTTTAATCTGAAAAGAGCATTTGCACTCTAAGTTTTCTAGAAAAAATAAGAGTAATTGGCAGTTCTTTCATAAATAAAGCAGAGAAGGTATGTGATTTATCCCAAGGCTGTCCCCTGCAAAGGAATGTTGGATCAGGTATTAAAATTTACATACAAGAAAAAAGCAAAACAATGCCTACTGAAGTTAAGTCGTTGAAGGCAATGGAAAAAATGAGTAGAGTCTTGGGGTGACCTAGTCACCCCTTGGCCTAGTGGGCCTTGAGGACTTGTTCTTAAGTGGCCAGAGTTCCTTAGGCAAATGTTGTCATTGATACTAATCTTCTTTCTTCCCTACTGAAATCAGCCAAAGGATCTTGAGGCAATGTCTTACATCAGTTGGGTAAGATCTCTTTTTCCTCTACAGCTGCCTCAGTGCCTCCAAAGGTTTTCCTATAGTGAACTGGGCTCCTTTCAACTACCAAACTGAAGTCCCAGGATCATCAATACCAGTTTCCTACCTAAAGAGAAAGAATCCTCCCTACGCTATTTGAACCCCAGGAGTTTTGAATAGCTTTAGGACATATTTTCTCAGCACTCTCTGCTGGTGCATGTGCTTTCTTTCCCTGCAGAAATCGAAGATATCCACGTACGAGAAGATGTGGGCTTTTATGAGTAGCAGGCAGCAGACTGCCCTGGTCAAAAACAGTGATGAAGGCATCCAACGAGTGCTCACCACTGACTATGCCTTGCTGATGGAGTCCACCAACATTGAGTATGTGACGCAGAGAAACTGCAATCTCACTCAGATCGGGGGCCTCATTGATTCCAAAGGTTATGGAGTAGGAACACCTATAGGTAAGAGAGGCAAGGCAGTAGCAAAGACTGAGATGGGCAATGTCAGTTACAAAGTATAGAAAGGAATGGGCTCAGAGCTATCTACTCTACATTCTGAGAAAGTCTACAATGCCTTCAGTGGACTAATAAATAAGGGAAATGACAGTACAGATCATAGGCATGCTCTGAATTGAAGATTCCAAGATATTTAACCTAATAAACTTTTAACTCATTGTTTCTTTCAAGTTCTACCATTGTATATATATTTGAGTACATAGATTTTATTATTTTACCCCAAATATTGTTAAAAGAATATCTTCCTAATTAACACACTTCTCATTATTTTCTTTAGTTCCTATATATGCCTGTATAGTTTTTTCTATCTTAAATTATATTAGAATACAACAAAATTAACTATACATATAGATGACAAAGTTAAAGAGCTAGTGTTCTATGTAAATAGATAGAAAAGCAAAACTATATCTGTCAAAAGAAAAAGGATTAAGATTAAATTATAATTTGCTCAGGCAATATGTCAGATTCAATCATTAATAAAAACTCCAAATATTCCTAGTCCTTGATTTTGTACCACTGCTCCATCTAAGGATATTATTACCTTGTAGGCATACAGACCCACACAGCTAGGTCTTCTTGCATATCTGGGATATAGAACTATATTCTGTATTCAAGGGGCAATGACCTCCCTATAGAAAACTCTCTATTTCCCTCACTACAGAAACTGTATTGTATAAGGTTCTGATATGGTAGCAATCTGCTCTTCTCAAGTGAGTCATCAGTAATTTCCTGATAAGCATTCCCAAGGGGAGGAATTGGAGGTCATCTTAGACCACTGGGTTAGTCCAGTAAGAAATCACAGTTAAAGTTAAATCAGATAATTAAGGACCCAAGGTATTATTTTCACCTGTTGAAAGGGATTATCCAGTTCCCTCAACACTAGACAGGGATCACAAACTCAAATGCTTACAGAAACCAAGCAGGTATAATTGAATAAAGCTTGTTGGTTTGAAGAAGCAGTAGGGAATGGTAGCAAGTATGGGGAAATAGAGACAACATACTCATCTAAAGGGGACAACTGCCTTTCAGGTCAGTAGCTGTGGGAATTAGAGCCCAACATTATCAGATCTTCTATTTTTCATGAAAAAAAATCAGATTTTACGTGAATATTCCTGATGGCTTAATTTGGCAATAAATTTACTTTTTCAAAAAGATTATGTAGCCCATATCCAACTTTTGATCAATACTAATTTGATTAACCAGTTAAAGAAGGTCAACTCTCTCCACCTTTGAACATGAATACATAACCAATTTGACTCCATGCAATCTATCTGATGCTAGAAATATATGTTATAAAGAAATTAACTTATATCAATTGGGTAGGATCTCCTTTTCCTCTAAATAAGTTGTTATGTATGTCCTCTAAATAAGTCTTCAGAATGATTGGGCTAGGCAACCTGTAACTACCTTTTTGCCCCTTTATTTCCAATAACTTTTCCTGATGAAAATGCCAGTATTGCAAATGAAGTGTACATTTTTTTCTCAAGTGGTAAGCTCTCCTAAAACTAAGTCGGTGTGCTCTGCAGAGAACTCAGTGGGATTGGTAGACACTAACTAAAAGTTTACTATGCTTCTTTTTGATTTGAGAAAAAATGTCCTATCTCCCTAACCAGGCTTTATCACCTCATTTTATTTTTTTATTTTTTTTTATAACCCTCCTTCCACCACTTCACAATAACTCACAAGTAACAACCCTTCTTTTTTTTTTTTTTTTAAGACTGGAGAAAGAAGCTAGACATGTTATTTTTTTATATCCCATCACTGCTGATTTTAGTTAAATGGACCATGAGTCAGACAAGAACACCAGGATTGGGTGCCTTTTCCTGAATATTTTCAAAATCAAGACCTTATGATTGATTGTAATATATTCTGTGTCTTCTTAGAAAAAGCAACTATAGTTTCTTAATGGAACCACCTTTAAATTAAGTTATAAAGTTGAAAACTGTACTTTTACCATTCCATCCTCAGCTCCATCTCCACCACCTTTTAATTACCCTCTTTGCCCACCAAATTTCCAGTCTGGTAGTAATGATGGAAAATAACAATTTGTACCACTTCTTCTGAGAATATTTACACTATAATATGAGACTTTTAATAGGCATTTCTTCTACTGAATGAAATACAACTCTAAAGTTAAAATATTGGAATATTGGTGAGGAATGGGGAAGCATCAAGGGGTCTTTTCAGAAACACTCCTAAATTAATGCAGCACTTTAAAAATGACTCTGCCTCCATGTGAGTGAGGCTGATCCTGTGATGAGTATCACTATATTTTATATAATATGATATAAAGAGATTTGAATATTCCAGTTCAGTCTACATTTTGCCAACCTCATGCATTCTCTGACATAAAAATTCCAAAGTTGAAGAGTTTTTCCCCCTCCCTAGATGAAAAGAAATACACTCCAGGAATTTTTCATAGTGGTTATAAACCTGTCATCCTTTTAAAACTAAAACAATGAAGGAATAATTGGAACAGATGGCAGACCTCAGAGAGAATACATCCATTGGGAATACAGCTGTTGGATAAATTTGTGAGATGTTTCTTCTATGATGAACTGACTCTTTAAGAAAGATCAGCTGCTATTCAGGAAGATCCGTGCATATACATATGTATTTTTTTCAAGTGACTTGTAATAAATCACTGCCAATGTCATTCAGTCCATTTAAGCAACAACAACAAAAAAAATTGAAGCTAAAATATATTCAGATATAAACAATTCTCCACATACTTCTGGTCTTGCCCTGACTCCCTTAAGGCTTAAAATTCCTTCTCACAGTCAAAGATTGACAAAGTTGCTCAGTCACAACACAAAATCAAAGACTTTGTTTCGTAGAGACTCTCAGGACAGAAGCTCTGGAGCATTTACTGAGTACCCACTGTGTATACTGCTGCAATTGTTACCCTATGGATCATTCTCACACTCTTCAAAGCACTTTCATGTACATTAAAGCAAAGCTCTCTTGATTCACTTAATTGTTCACATTATTGTTAATGGTGCTAATTTTGACACTAACCATTATTCTGGAGTTGTTTAAGCAAGCAGCCAATATCTTTTAATTTGGCTGTCAAGAGCCATTTTCTCACCAAAAATCCGTACTCCTAATTGATAAGCCACAATCTAACTCCAAAACATTTTGCTCTTCTTTTACACTTGATCTTGAAAGACTGACAATGACTTTAGGAAGTCTTGGGAGGAATGGGAAAAATGACAAATGTCACAATATTAATCTTCTGCTTTTCTAACCATGCCCTAGAACATAAGGTATACGGGGGACGGGGGAGATGACATGGGGGTGAAGGGAGAAACTTTAATGAAAATAACACTAAGGGAGAAGTTAGGAGAATTGAGTTAAATTCTTGGCTCTACCAGCAACTATTACTTTCACCCATATCTTCACATCTTCAATTTCTTCAATTCTAAAAATAAGTAGACTGGGACTATACAGTTCCTAAGATCTCTTCTGGTTCTAAGATGCCACATTTTTCTGTTTGCTACTTTTTTTGCATTTTTCTATTTCCACCAAGAAGAATGTTAAAGTTTACAAACAAAGAGCTAGAATGTACTACTTTCCTACTAAGTAGAAGAAACACTTACAAAAATCCTTAGCATCCAAGGAGAAATTAGGGAAAG